CGATCTGGTGTGACGTAGGTTTTAGAAAAACAATTACTTTATCGTGCCAACGTTTTGATCTTTATTGAGATCATCTTCATGGCCTGGGATTTATAAACATAGTTTAAATTATACAAATATGTGTAGGATGTGAAAAAAATGAATTTATAAATGCTAGAAATTTTAGATTCAAATCAAAGTATTTGTACTTACTCAAAGTGTTTGTTTTCTGTGTAGATGCATCATTCTTGTGTGTCGTGTTGAGAGTACCAGTGAGATATTGATGTTTTATGTATATATACGTCGGATTTTGAAGTAGTGGGGAAGGAAGTCGGGATAAAAAGACATTCTCTTATGAGGCGTCGGCTTCTTTGTGGTGAAAAGAGCCGACAAAGGGAAAAACGTTGATAATGGTTCGGCCAGATTACCCTTTCAGGATTATATAGACGGAGATAAATAGGAAAAGGAAAGCTAAATTTATTGAAAAATTAGACTATGTAAAAATGTTTGATGTGTGGAATGTGATGAATGTTTTATATGATATATTGTACGTTTTGTGTGATGTGATGATGATATTTGTATGTCATCGATATTGATTTTGATTAATGATATTAGCGTAGCTGCGACTGAGTTTACATGTGTCTGTTCTGTAATTGATGCTGATATTTTAGAAATGGTTTACATCAACAGAGATAAACACAGCATCAATTACAGAACAGACACATTTAAACACAATCGTCGGCTCTTTTCACCTCAAAGAAGCCGACTTATACAAAAATGTTTATCTGTACCGACTTCCTTCCCCACCCATTCAAAATCCAACGTATATAAACATAAAACAGCAATATCTCACTGGCACTCTCAACACGAAACGCAAGAATGGAACAATTACGCAATTACAAATCGTGAGATGCGGTCTGGTGTGATGTAGGTTTCAGAAAAACATTTTCTTTATCGTGCCAACGTTTCGATCTTTATTGAGATCATCTTCAGGGCTCAAAATGTTTGTCTTCTGTGTAATTGTGCCAGTCTCGCGTGTTGTGTTGAGAGTATATGTACTCACTCAAAGTGTTTGCTTTCCGTGTAGATGTCTCATTCTTGTCTGTCGTGTTGAGAGTGCCAGTGAGATATTGCTGTTTTATATATATATATATATATATATATATACGTCGAATTTTGAAGGGGTGGGGAAGGAATTCGGGAGAGAAAGACATTTTTATATAAGGAGTCGGCTTCTTTGATATGAAAGGAGCCAACAATGGGAAAAAATGGGTAAGGGTTCAGCATGATTATTCTTTCAAGATTATATAGACGGGGATAATTAGGGAAAGGAAAGCCAAATTGTTGAATAATTAGATTGTAGAAATGTTTGATGTGTGGAATGTGATGATTGTTTTATATGTTATATGTTTTGTGTGATGTGATGATATATGTATGTTATCGGTATTGAATTTGATTAATAATATTAGCATAGCTGCGATTGAGTTTACATATGTCTGTTTTGTAAATGATGCGTGTTTATCTCTGTTGATGTAAACCATTTCTAAAAAGTTACGTATATGTTTGTTTTGTTCTGTGTGTAATATTTTTGGATTGTTGAAATCGAAATTGTTTTAGTGTTCAAAATGGTGGGTAGCCAGTGCTGTAGGATTTTGTTTGGGCTTCTTTGAATCATAGATATGTTGCTTTACTTTCTTATCGAGATATTGGAGATGCAAGTTGCCCGACAATTTAAACAATTGATTTTCTAAATTACGACAGGTTTATTTGTTATTGGTGTGTGATCTTTAATTTTGGAACAAATGTGTAAATTGTTTTATAGCTTTGAAAGCTATATTAAAGTAATCAGAAGTGACAGAAGGTGTTTAATTTATGTGATAGGCCGTGAATGAATGGCATGGAAATGTATGTTGGTTTGTCTGTATGTGAAAGATTTGGTGTAGTATTATTAGTAATAGTGGATGGTGTAAGTGTAGTTGTAGTTGTTGATTATTCTGTTAATAATGAGTTTAGGGTAGAGATTGTTATGGAGGATCTGTTTGTATATGTTTATGTTCTTGTGGTAAAATGATTCATGGCTTAGGGTAATAATTCTGTGAAGTAGCCCTTTGGCGTGTTTATTATTGTATGATGAGGATGGTGAGATGTAATGTTGAGGTAGCGATCTGTTTCTTGGTTTTTGATACCAATCTGTGATTAATGCGCCATCTGGTTGTTTTATTACGAGTGTATCTAAAAATGGCATTGTTTTGCTGTTTTCGATTTCATGTATAAATTGTAGGCGTAGGTGAAAGCTGTTAAATGTATCTATTGTAGTTTGAATTTGATCTGTGGGAACTCCTGTTAATATATCATCTTGCATTGTATAAAGTCATTTTTTTCACATCCTACACATATTTGTAAAATTGAAACAATGTTTTTCAAATCCCAGAAGATGATCTCAATAAAGATCGAAACGTCGGCACGATAAAGAAAATATTTTTCTGAAACCTACATCACACCAGATCGCATCTCACGTTCTCCAAATAATGATGTATTCTGTGTTGAGAATGCATTTATAAGCGTGAATGTATGTGTAATACCATAATGTCGATGTCGGAATATCAGGTAACATATAGTTACAAATTTAGACTATTTAAGGAGTTGTTCCTTCGTGTAAAGATTAATGGAGGAATTTGGAATACCTCTCTACACTATTTGAGTGAATGGAAAGATGGATAAATAAGATAATTTTTTAAGGTTAAAACTGCATGCGTTGGGCGACAGAACGGAATCAATAGGTAAGTAAAACTCGAGTCAAATTGTAAAGTAATAATTTGAACATTAATGATTAATAAATTAACGGGAAGAGTGAGGTTGTTTAGCCTGCACAATTCGGATTGTTGGGTTTAATATTTATATATGGAGACTGATGTCGGGTTCAGCATCTAAACAGCTTCGTCTTTAGTTTTGGTGGATGTATAGTGCAGCATTGTATCTCGAGCTGTGTCGTTCCCAAGTTTGTTTACTTTTAAAAAATCATTTAACACAGGAAAAGACTCCACCTTTTATTTCTCAACAGATTCAACCCAAAATTGGATTTTTCTTTCGAAAGCGTGAATTTTGTCATAGGCATCGAAAGAGATTCTTCCCTTGCAAAGAAAGACTCACATATTACATTTTAACGAAAATATCTGATAAAAACGACAGTATACATTGGCATTTCCCACCATTTAAAACATTTGGCAATTTGACAATGTTGTCCAAAACCGAGATAAAACTACTGAATGTAATTACTGTAATCGTGAAAGTGCTTTCCCAAAAGACAACCACTTCTGTATGGGGAAGCAGGGAATGTGAAGGCTTCCCACATAGTAAGGTGAAAAGTTTTGAATTCAATGGCCACGACTTGATTAATAATTTAACAATTAATAATTTGAACAGATTCATCCGAAACTTTCTAGAAGAGGTTGGCATTTGTTTCCTCACTAAATCTTACTTCAGTACTAATCTCACTTTTATTTTACTTCGATCCAATCGTTCGGCCAGTCATTTCCTTAGCACCATCTGTGCACACGTCAATGCTATTAAACCACGGAATTGCATTAATTGTAAAAAAATTCCAATAAACGGATTATTTCGGCACCTGTTCCATTTAAGTATTAGAAATATCGACCACTTTTTCACTCACGAACACTCTTGATCGAGGATGGTCGTGAAGAAGAAAGCAAATTTAGTTGTTAGTGCCAAGATTTCGACCTATTTTATGGTCATCATCAGGGCAAAAGAAACTAATTTGTCCTTGTAAATGTCTGAGCCGGTCAAGGAAATTTGAGATCACCTGCAAAAAACTTAAATGTATCAATCTGTAGGCATATTTAAAATTGTTTTGACCTGATGATGACCTTAAAAGAGGTTAAGTTTGGCAGTAAGAAGTGAATTTGCTTTCTTCTTCTAGATAGTTCATTGGCAGGAAGTGGTTTACTCAATAAAAGATCATCCTCGAATCATCCCGACTGTTCATAACGGACAAAAGCCAACAAAACAGACAACCCCGTGACGTCAGTTGATTCGTCCATTTGGGGAGAAATGAATTTTATTGGATGCGAGAAACTAGCGTATTTCACATCATATGATAAATCAAGTATCCCTCTATTGATATTATTGTTTGATAATGACACGCAACATATATGTTTTACTGATTTTAGAGAGAGATAGGTTATGATGGTTTCCGCTATGGTATGAGCTTTACCTGCCTGGGCCACTTATCAAGTAAGACGCTTTTAGTGAGTTTTCATTGACAGTTTTTGTACTAGTTTTCATGAAGTTTTGAGAAGCAACCAGTTCAGTGCGAATTACTTTTTAATTACAGTAGTTGAGATGCCACATACTTTCAAGTACAATAGTCATGCTCTACAAACTCTAGCTAATGAAATATATTACAGCAATATTTATGATCATGTTTACATCTGTCACGCACAACCGCAATGTTTCCATTATATCTGATTGTGAGTATATTAGCTGCCCCGGTATTCAGATGGTACTCTGAACTATAAATAGGTTTTTAAAACGCCAATTATTTTGGAAGATAGCTGAATAGTTCAATCAATTTTTGTTCCAAATAGGTGGTTTTCAGTAGTTTTGTGTGGAGTGCTGAATTCGACTTTATTTGATTCCTTATTTCTACGACATTTATGATTTTCTATCTTCTAAAATAAATTAATATTTGACATGCTTGGTGTTGAAAGCAATTTTCTTTTAGCTTTGTCAATATTGATAGATTTAAAACGACTTTTTGATGTACACGTTTTCTGTGGTGTTGATAAAGGAACTAGGTAATAAAATTTCGCGATACTATTATAAATAATCATAAAATATTGTGAGAAAGCTTTGTGAAAGGTTGAGAAGTGGATAGCTTCATTCCGTCAACAATGGAGCCTGAAAGAAGGGCTCCCGTGTTAAAATAATTACACCGGACTCCAATTTTTCAGATGCCCTTTCTTTGGACCTGTTAGAGACAAAGGAAATTATTTTTTAATTACCTGAAAAGGTCGAGGTGTTCTCTGAAAGTTACGCTGTCGTTGAACACAAGCCTGTTACCGTTTGCTGTCGTTACGACGACCGTCGGCCAAGTGCTGAGTCTGTCTAACGCCTGGTCTGTCACTGCAAACCGTGAACTCAAATTAGTCCTGAAGCAATAAAACAGAATACAATTTCTTCACAAACCTTGTTAGGCGCACGGGTTAGGAATATTTTGCATTTTTTGGTTTTGGTCTTTTAACATTGAATAAAAAAGAATGGGGTATATTTTCTTAGTTCTAGTCTTAATTTGGTTAGAAAAGCACACAACTTGCCGATTAGGTTTATATAATTGTGGTTTCAAACGTTATTACACAACGAATTAAAATAAAATATTAGATCCATTAGGTTGAGTTTGATTGACCAAATAAATTCTTTTCAATTATTTAATCTTTAAGTAAGGTATTGGTGGAGTTAAAAAAGTCAGTATCACGAGCGGGATTCGAACCCAGGACCTTCGGCTAAATACGCCGCTGCTCTATCACAATGGCAAAAAGGAGGGAAAATTCGAAAGGTGCGTGGGATGGGAGATTGGTGTCCGAGTTGATCGAAGTCACGATTGCTCAAGTGGTAGAGCAGCGGCGTATTTAGCCGAAGGTCGTGGGTTCGAATCCCGTTCGTGACACTAATTTTTCATCTCAACCAAAAACCTTAGATGAAAAAAATAATTAATTGTTTTAAATAATATTAACAAAAAGACAATTATTCATTTCATTTAAATTTTGTCACCAAACAAATAAAATCATATCGTCAACCTACAAAATTGCACCTAGCGTCGAAGGCAATAGATAACCAATTTGCTTCTTTTTTAAATTTATTAATTGCCATTAACCGTCTACCCTCTAAAGTTGTTAAGTACTTTTAGAAAGTGTCACACAACGGAGAAATATCAACCAATATCTTACTTAAAGATTAATTAATTGAATAAAATATTAGCTTAAACTCTTCCCTATTCTTTAGCAGAAATTCAATATCTACAAAAAACACAAACAGTAGATAACGATCAAGTCTTTTTACAATTATTAGTTTAATAATACAACAACTAATTTGGGGTGTACCATTGAATGTTTGCCTGCTAATGTTTGAATGAAAGTTGTGCGTGCAAGATTTCTTTCTTTTTTTAGGAACTCATACAAAAAACATTTTCTTTATCGTGCCAACGTTTCGATCTTTATTGGGATCATCTTCAGGGCCTGGGATTTACAAACATTGTTTACATATTACATTACAATTACATTTTGGATGTGGAAAAGTGAATTTATACAATGCAAAATATATTTTATAATAATTTTGCATTGTATAAATTCACTTTTCCACATCCAAAATGTAATTGTAATATGTAAACAATGTTTTTAAACCCCAGGCCCTGAAGATGATCTCAATAAAGATCGAAACGTTGGCATGATAAAGAAAATGTTTTTCTGAAACCTACATCACGCCAGACCGCATCTCACGATTTCTAAATAAATATCGATTAACGGTCACTAATCACCACACATATATCAAAAGTATTCATTTCTGCAACACAAATAAACAACCCAATTGGGTTCAAATTAATTAATAGCATTTATTAAATGTTGAACTGTAATTTGTTTAACGTTATTTTACTAAGGACTAGACGTACATGTTTGTCTGTTAAATGTCTGTAACGGGAGACTCGCAAATTAGACTCCTTTCCTATTACAGTCAGTCCGAGGAAATATGAATATTGATTTATATCCCTCGTTAACCCGAGTATCTGCCTAACGCGCTGGATATTCCGTATAAATTACAGATTTTTCTGAAAATTGAGGAAGTATCCTCTGTCAGTTTAAATCTATAAAACATATGTTTGACTCGCAGTGACAAGGAACGAGGGGAAGTTTTTGATGTTTAGGTCGAAAACAGTTCCCTTTTGTATGGAATTAGTCCGTCTGCACTCTAAGGAAATAGAAAAACATTTTCTGTTCCTTTGTCGTTGAACCGCTGACATAAAAGCCCAACCAAAGAACGCCCTCATGGATCGAGATCAGTCACACACGTATAAACCGTTAGTTGTTTGATCATTGTAGATCAGTGAATCCATATAATTTCGCTGTTTGCTCAAGGCAGGACGTGATGTCGCTTCAAACCATCATTACAAGATGTTTGTATCAGCCTTTGAAGGGGAAATGGAAGTGTGTATGCAGTATAGTTAATCTATCGTGACGATAATTTTTATTTGTTTAAATTTTATAATTTGTTTATAAAATTTCTGATCAAATTAACTCGGGACAATTTTTTTTTAGTGATTAAACATCTTTAATAAACAAGGGCCAATTTTATGTACGTGTTGTTCTGTTATGTTATCGACGTAATGGGTCGGTCTACTGCAATATCGCTAATGTGTTCTCCGTCGGAATTACAACCTTCTTCTAATATTGCTAACTGTGAATTTTAAATTTTTTTTGCCCGTATAAAAAAAAAATAATGGAAATGAATTAAGGTCATTATTGTTCTGGAGGAATAGGACGAAAACTGAGCTATTTCACAACACAACAGACAAGCTACAATTTTCATTCAAATTTCCTCGATTCATTCCGGTTGAAAACATTTAAGAACAAGTTAACAAATTATTAAAAAGTCCATCAAATATAGTAAAAAAATATCATATTAGAATTAAAATAATAAATAATACAAATAAATATATAATTTATTATATCTACGTTTTCTTTTAACACTATTCAGTTTATCATCAGTGTACATATATGATATGTTCCAAGATTTATATGTATTATCCAAATTTATACACAATTTATATGTATTACAACAAACTTTTGACACAACTATGGACATCATCACTTGTTTATTTTTAAACCTTGTATTTTTCAAAAATTTAACTAAGCCACATTTGCTTAGTGGTCATAATTGACCTTATTAATTATTCTAATTAATTGCTCTTTTTATCTAAGGTTTTTGGTTCAGATGAAATATCAGTTACACGAGCGGGATTTTTCATCTCAACCAAAAACCTTAGATACGAAGAATAATTAATTGGAATATAACTAAGCATGATGTAGAACATAAAACATTTACTTTTTCAATTAATTTTTAATGTAAAGTAATACTTCTTAAAATAAAGTGAATATACTTTTAGAAAAAATAACGTACCACATATGACGCACTATATATCCTGCTATTGACAAAAATATAAGAAAATTAAAAATTAATTGGTGGTGGACCTTTTCCCGTCCGAAAAATAGTAGCAAATGAACAGAAATGAAGATTATTAATTACAATTATTAGAAAGATTTTAATTTGAAATTAAGACAACAAAAAAAGGACTGTCGTGCTTCGGCACATTTTTAACAAAACAACAACAACACTTTCGTCAATAAAATAACAAAAGGAAAAGCTCACGGTGTTGAAAAAAATGAATGAGGCGGAAGTCGAGAAACAGAGACTTGAAAAGGCGGTGCATCAAGGTTGATAGTCCAGTCTACAAATTTCTAGTGACCAAACGTGTTCTGAGGTATACCCAAAGAGAGACTGCCCTTGGTTCAATCAATCCCCGACGTGTTCGACGCGTCAACCAATCGCGAGAGAACGCCATTATTGATGCTCTGGCAATTATAAATAGTAACAAGAGAAGGTTATGGATATGGGAACACAGATTTTAATGGATTTTTTAACCATAGATCGAATTGAAAATAGACACATTCACCAGCATTCTTGCCAAAGAGGAGATCTGCTTGGAAGTAGAGAAAAAAAATGTCATGTACATTACGTAGTTTTAGAATGTTTTACTAATTTTCTTGTATGTTTTGAATAGCATTCAATTTTTTACATTATCTACTATAAGAAAATTATACCGGACTGTATTATATGAAATTAGATACGTGTATGAAAAGTACAAAAACCAAACGAGTATTTCATTAAAGCAAATCAATTGCCCGGGGGAGAACTGAACTTAAATCCATGTTTTTGTGAAAAAACTTTTACTCAAATTTATTGTTTCATCAATGAAAACAATTTAAAAAACAAATTAACTTAATGGATAAATTGACACTGAAAAGGATGAAATTGTATTGATTTCATATTAAATCCATTAGATTTCGTGGTCCGATTGATCAAATATCATCTTTCAATTAATTAATCTTTATGCAAGGTATTGGTTGAGATAAAAAGTCAGTTTCACGAACGGGATTCGGATTGAAAAATGGCAGAAAGGAGGGAAAATTCGAAAGGTTGGGTTGAGATGGGACATTGGTGCCGACTGGTTCAAATTCGCTCAAATGGTAGAGCAGAGGCGTATTTAGCCGAAGGTCGTGGGTTCGAATCCCGCTCGTGACAGTGACTTTTTTATTTCAACCAATACCTTATATAAAAATTAATTAATTTAAAGATGATTTCTTATTTTTAATGTAAGGAGTGTAATAAGATTATTTACTTACAATTAATTAAGGTTTTTAGCAGAGATAAAAAAGTCAATGACACGAGCGGGATTCGAAACCACGATCTTCGGCTAAATACGCCGCTGCTCTACCATTTGAGCTATCGTGACCTCGATCCACTCGGACACCAACTTCCTATCTCAACCGCATCTTTTGAATTTTCCCTCCTTTTTGCCATTTTTCAAATGTCGTGTAATCGGATTGCTGCAAAGTAATTATGAATTTTTAAATGTAATAAAAGGTTATTGGAGAGGAAAAGTAAGTGCACTGGGCTATAATCCTGAACAAAATTTTTTATTTTTAGTTTGTCATAAAAATTCGTACACAAAGGTTTGAAAGGAGCTGTAAACGATTCCGAATTATTTTTGCTTATTTGGCCTACTTTACTGAAAGCGTCTTTTGGTTATACAACTTTTTAATATCTAATCTCACTAAAAGCTTCTTATTATTTTCTTATTGTAAAAAATATTAAAAAATAGACAAACTACATTTTTCCTCTCTTATTAGTAAACCTGTCATATAAATAATCTCATTTAACATAGTCCTGCACTATTAAGAGTGGCCACCTTTTTGCATCTCAGTGTAGCTTTTCTTTTTTTATCCATTCTGGTTGAATTATGGCGTTAAAATATATTTTTCACCTGTTTTTAAGCTTTTAACGTTAGTGTCTTCCATCATTCCATTTGTCACAAGTTCAATGTTCAAAACGCCTTCAACTTTCACCAAATATTGCTAGGTGCTGTAAAGTTTTAGTAGTCTCTAAGTATTCTAAAAGCTTTTAAAACATTGTTAGAAAATATGCACTTTTTAAAATTTGTAATAATTGTTGTTTGAAATACGTCATCCAATGTCTTTAGTAGTACGTGCAAAACTTCACGCTCCGTTGGAGATCGATTGGTGCTAATAATCCGCAGATGTAGTATGCAAATTACGGCTTGTACTTTTACTGGCCAAGACTAGTTAATAGCCTCCTGGTCGATGCAGTTTTGGCTGGTTCTGTCAGAATTCAGCAAATTCTGAACTGAAACCACTGCAATACTATTTCCTTATCCTTCACGACAGAAATTTTTTTAAATTGACTGCTTCACAGATGTTATTCTTTCCCAAAGACCGTTCGAAATACCTAATCACAATTTATATTTCAATGTCATTCTACTATGTAATAAACAGAGAAATCCATTAACAAATTATGTTCACAAATAAGGACAGTATTGCATTGTTAAAAATGTATTTATAATTAATGTAAGCAAGCAATAGACTAAATTATATAAGGAAAATGGTTCAATATGGGTACTATTCGATACACGACTACGGACATGAAACGAGTTTCATGCTTTTGTAACAATCTTTTGTTTTTTGTTTTAATTTGAATACATGGAGTTTTGCATCGATTTTACCTGTAATCTTCTCCGTTGGTGAATATGTGAAAAGCGACTTCAGACCTCTCCAGCTGCATTTGCGTTACCACCTTCCCCAATTCAGTCGCGATGGTAACCTGGGAACAGGCCGCATTGAAATTAGCCATAACTAAGGCGAAACATAATTATCTGGAAGGTAGAAACAAATGTTCATTTTATAAGTCGTTGAATTTATAGGCGGGAAAGGGGTTCGAAATCGTACGGCTCGTCGCTGTTAAAGTCAAGGATGAAACATCCCCGGGACCGGAAATAAATAGAGATCTTGATATATCACCAGTTCCACGACTTCACCTAATGAGCACATAACATCGATTTATTGCTATTTGACTAGAGGTAAGTGATTACACGAAAAGCCCGACTCACGTTTGAAAAACGCAATTGATCTCGATAGTCAAACTCATCAATTGCTAAGAAATGTTAAAAGCTGATCATAATAATCGACCGGTGGGGGTGAGAGCCATTAACCATCTAATTAACGGTCCATCGGCCAATACGGCGTTAAAAACAGTTTTGAAACAGGTCAATGTTCGTCAGGAAGTCGTACTTTTGTTTTAACTTTAAAGAAATACGAAAAACTAACGATTATATTTAAGGAACATTAAATACAATATTAAAGACAATGTTAAAATAAAACTATAATTTAAATCGTATTGAAATTTGTGGTGATTAGTGTCCGTTAGTCGATGATTATTGGGAAATCGTGAGATGCGGTCTGGTGTGATGTAGGTTTTAGAAAAACATTTTCTTTATCGTGCCAACGTTTCGATCTTTATTGAGATCATCTTCAGGGCCTGAGATTTTCAAACATTTAAATTTAACAAATACATGTAGGATGTGAAAAAAAGTGAATTTATAGAATGCAAAAAAAAAAATTCATATTCAATCAAAGTATATCTACTCACTCAAAGTGTTCGTTTTCTGCGTAATTGTTCCATTCTTGCGTGTTTAGAGTGCCAGTGGGATATTAATGTTTTATGTTTATATACGTTGGATCTTGAAGGGGTGGCGAAGGAAGACGGTATAGAAAAACATTTTTGTATATGGAAAAAAACTTTGGTAATGGTTCGGCCAGATTATCCTTTCAGGATTATATATAGACGGGGATAAATAGGAAAAGGGAAGCTAAATTGTTGAAAAATTAAACTGTGTAAAAAGGTTTGATGTGTGGAATGTTTTATAAGTTATAATATGTGTGTTGTGTGTGCAATATATCCCTGGCACTCTCAACACGTCATTCAAGAATGCCACAATTACGCAGAAAACAAACACTTTGAGTGAGTACAAATATTTCGAATATAAAAAATATTTGTTGCATTGTATAAATTCATTTTTTCCTCATCCTATTTGTTAAATCTAAAGAATATTTGCTAATCCCAGGCCCTGAAGGTGATCTCAGTATATATATATAAGTGGGAAGTATATGGGCCGACAAACAGCTGAGGTCATTGACGGCCCTCTTCATGTTTTCCATCTTTTTATTTTCTTTCGCGTATATTTTGTTTTAAACTACAGCCATTTGAGCGTCTCGATCTGGTTACTGACTCTCTGATTTCAGATATATACTACGTTGATATTCTAGAATGCTTGTCTCTTGTTTGTATCTCAGGTTGTCAAATACAGAATAAAAACAAAACATACAATACATATATATACTTCACCACAAACATAGATGTCTGGTCACATTCATTCCCTCAGAGTACTCGATATTCCTCCGGGCGGGGTTATAACCAATCCCTTCCTTTCACACTAATAAATTACTTTTACTCTCCAGACATCATACACTCACCCCAGAGTACTTGATATTCCTCGGGGCGGGGTTATAAGCAACCCCTTCCTTTCATAAATTACATTCATTACAATAAATTAACACAAACACAACACTCGATAGAAACATAGAGGTCTGGTCACATTCACTCCCCCAGAGTACTCGATATTCCTCGGGGCGGGGTTGAACCCTCTCCACTCTCGCCAATAACTGACTTTTACTCTCCAGACGTCACACACTCACCCCAGAGTACTCGATATTCCTCGGGGCGGGGATGATCTGAATAAAGATCGAAACGTTAGCACGATAAAGAAAATGTTTTTCTGAAACCTACATCTCACCAGACCGCATCCCACAATTTCCGAATAATTTAGTCTCTCCTTACCACCACCTCGAAAAAATCAACAGTTACTATTTACCACGGCTACTCCAAACTGAAAACGAAGGGTCAGGGCAATCTGGCAGCATAACAGATATTCGAGTGATCACCGACTCACGAGAAAACTGAAACCAGAATTGGCTTCGTTTTCTAAAACAGACAAGTCCTTGTGGTACTGTACCCGTAAGATCCTGCGATATAAAGACCACGCGCCCCCATAAGTATCCTCGCTTGGGCTGAATCCAATTCCGACATAGCTAAATTGTATTCAGAGCATATTTCCACAATATTCACTCCACACCATGACATACTTGACGATGACCATCGGCATGACATTGAACACGACTTGAATTCCCCTTGCAACTCTCTCCTCCTCACAAAGCATTTACTCCATCAGACATACGACACACTATTAAACAACTACCTTCATTCCAAACTCCAGGTTATGTTCTAATTAGAACTCCATTATAACAAAATTTGCCCCACAGAGGCTTACTTTACTTAACATACATATGCCTCGCTGTACTGAGAACCACATATTTTCCACTGCACAGTTGAAGTTCTCTCTCTCTCTCTTCTCTCTCTCTCTCTCTCTCTCTCTCTCTCTCTCTCTCTATATATATATANTCTTATATATATATAAAGTGGAAGGTTTATGGGTCGACAAACAGCTGAGGTCATCGTCACCCCCAGAGTACTCGAAATTTTTCGGGGCGGGGTAAATAACCCCTTCCTTTCACGCTAATAAATTATATTCATCCTATTATATTAACATAAACACCACACAAACACGACAGAAACACTTCAGACACAACATAAGCACAGCACAAACACACATAAACTATATATATTTGAAAATCCCTATGGCTCTGAGGTACCGGTACAGCGATTTGTGCCCGCTGCTGTGCCCCAAGACTATGCACAGGTCCGATGATATTCCAAATATGCCTATAAACGTCGAGCCTTCTACAATTGAAAAGGTCCTCGACAGTTACTCTATCCTTGCATAATGGGCACCTATGCGGTCGCTTTCCTGCTAGAAGGTGCCCGTGCGTAATTCTTGTATGAGCTATGCGTAGTCTTGTCAGTATGACCTTTTCCCTTTTTGACCCATTTTCCGTGAACCAGGGACCGACGTCTTTCTTATTCTGCCACAGTTTGGCAGGGTTATTTCTATTTTCCGAGCCAAGCGGTTTTTCCATTCTTCTTTTATCGTATTTGAAATTAATACTTGAGATCCGCTGAGCGTATTGGTTGGGAAGCGTCGTGAGGTCCTCTGGCTGCTTCTTTGGCCGCCCTGTCTGCTGCTTCGTTCCCGGTTATCCCTATGTGGTTTCTATATAATTAAAATGGCTCATAAGCCAAATAAATCTCTTGATCTTCCTAGTTCCTATTGACCCATTACCCTCCTTTCTACTTTGCCAAAATTCTAGACAAACTACTTGTCCGACCATTATTGCGATTAATGGAAAATTCTAATATTATTCTAGATCATTAGTTTGGATTCCGCACAGTTCATTCAACAACGCGACAATTGCATCGTGCTGCTGACAATATAGCCTCTTGCCTCGAACAAAAACAGCATTGCTTTGGTGTCTTTCTTGATTTAGAACAGGTCTTCGATCGAATCTGGCACTCGGGCTTACTTTGCAAACTGAAGAACATCCACCTTCATACGGACCTTCTCATACTGAGATCTTAAATGACGGACCGATTTTGCCAGGGAACTGAATTCTCACTTTATATACGTATTAAGGCGGGTGTTCCTCAGGGAAGCATACTTGGCCCATTTCTGTTTTCAACATACGCTGCAGATATTCCTACACATGTTAACATTTCTACACATATATTCGTCTATGATACAGCGATTCTTACAAGTAATTCGGACCCACAATGAAACTCAACACTTACAACACCTGAATGAATTAACAGGATGGTTCACAAAGTAGAGAATGAAGATAAACCTAACGAAAAGCGTAATGATGAATTTTACTTAATGTAAAAATATCTGTTCCTGCAGTAAATGGAATCCCATTCCCAACTATCTTGAACTTTTCTTGGATAAACGACTTGCTTGGAATCTTCACACAAGACTGACGATCAAAATTAGACATTGAAAACAAACTTTTAATCTAAAAGACAATGATTAGACGGCTCTGGGCGTACGGTTGTGAAGTTGGGGCTCAACCAAGGATTCCAATTCCTAATGTATCCAAACAGTCTAATCTAAAATTCTCTCCTTTTTACGTTTCAAATTACACTATTCATAACGATATGCACATCCCGTTTGTACATAAAGTTATTATAAAACGCTATAAAAATTTCATCAATCACTGAACACGCACAGTAATCTTTTAGCACGACATTTATCACTTCCAACCCTACCTGAAAACTCTCCAAGGCGATTGAAGCGAAAGTAGCCCCGGGACCTTCTCATTCAATGAAGATTGAAAAGATTTCATTGTGAAGGAGTCTTGCCACTGAGCAACATATATGAACATATTTACTTAATGCAATATTTGTACTTGTAAATATCAAATAAATGTAATAAAAGTATTTAGTCTTTTTGTAAATGATCAACAAACGTTCTGAGTTTGTAGTTATTGAATTTTTTTTAGAATAAATTATTTATCACCTCTACATTTCAAATTTGCCAAAATGTGAAAAACAACTAAAAAATTAAAACTTTTTGTTAGAAAGAAAACCATTTCCGATCATGGTGGGTTTCGATTCCTTTAATGGGGCAAAATCCGTTTTTCATTTTAACGAATGCACTTTTAAACTTAAAATTATTTTTAATTAATTTTTTATTTCGTCATATTCCCTTTTTGCACAAAATGAATCTGGTCTCATGACATTTCAAGCTTGAGAAGTGCTTCATTTTGGAAATTGCAAACCAAACAGAGTCAAAAGTCTAAATTTTCTTATAACGA